TGTCATTTACTTTCTTGAGCTTCAAGCAAATGAATTTCGCTAGTTTATGCATTGCTCCATGCTTGTTGTTTACTATTAGTCTTAGAGGATTCACTTCCTTGTGTATCTTGGTAGACTGTCGGTGGTCTTGTGTCAATTGTGATTATAGATTTCATCCTCCATTTGTCAATTTCCCCATTATTATGCATTTCTTTGTGCATATTCTTCAGTGTCCCGTTGATCTTCATGGTTGGATCCTTCCTTAGTATTTGATAAGTGTTTGGTCGCCTAGGATACTTTCCATTTACTCCGTGTATTGCTTTCTATCCATTACAACCGTCGCTCCTCTCTTCTCCGTCTGAATAACTATTTGATCATTCTTTTGAATTTTTTTCCGTATACCAGCCAATCTGCTCCAGTGTATTGGTTCTTGATGTGTGAGGATCCATGGGATTATTTCCAGTTCCATCTCCCGCCTTGTCTTTTCTGTATATTTATCCGTTATGTTGACAACTTCCACCAGAATGACAACTTCCACCAGAGTGTTTCCTTCGTTACTTAAGGAAACATGTAACCCCTTCTTTTAGAGATCAATAGTTTCTAAATCAAGAGGGATTGAAGATAGGTTTACTACCTTAGTCCTATCGTCGTCTGTAGTAGTCGATGCCTTCAGCACAGAACCATCAAAATTTGCCCGGGTTGGCTTGGTCTTGCGTTGTCTTATTATCCCATAGATAAGCAATTTCTTGTCAACTGCAACAGACGACGATAGGAGTAAGGTAGTAAACCTATCTTCAATCCCTCTTGATTCAGAAACTACTAACCTCTAATCTATTAATTTTAATAGCTTCCCTTATATTCCTTTTCGTGGCATACATACCATAATCAGCAAACCTCTTCGTCTGAGACAAGCAGTCTCCACCATCTGCTCAACCACTTCTGACCATTCTTCATAGCTGTCTTCACAATCATTTTTGTTCTCGGCTAATCTTTGGCGGATAGGCCGACAGGTCTTATCAACATTAGTTTATCACAGAATTTTACAATCTTCTAAAAACTGGAACTTGATAATGGACCATATTTCCATCACAAGAAGGCATAACCGAAGAAACTATCAGTTTCTTTGAAAACTGTTCTTATACCTCACTTCCTCACTAGCTCGCCTATCTTTTTATAAAGTGAGTATGATGAAAAGATTAAGACATGAGAAAGGGTCTCGGCTTGCCTATCTCTGGCCAGATAGTCTCCGTCTGAAAATTTATTCTTTATTAAAGATATATTATAAATTAAGTTTAAAGGATAATTATTTTTCAGGAACAAATATTTCAGTCTACTTAACTGTTCGGTCAGTTGATTTCCATCCACAATCCTCACACTCATAATAATCATAGATTTTACATTTTAAATCTTAGTTTTGCATCTATTGTTTTTACCCGAAGCGATGGAGAATGTATTGTGGACTGTGCCAACCTTAAAGTTGTATTAAATTCAATAAGCTGCAGTACGACAGAAATCAGTCGTCCTCTTCTGGTGGGGTGGACTTACGAATCCCTCCATCATGCACTTTCATACTAAATGTAAGTCTCCAAAACATTGTGAACATTTACTTCAAATCTGGTTTAAATGTTCGCCTTCATCCTAGACGTGATCGGTTCTTCATTCCGTAGAATCTACCTTGAACTCCTAATACAGCATTGCGACATTAGGGTATGGTTAATGCATGGCTCTCCAGTCACCTTGCTCTATACCCTAGGTTCGTTTAATGACGTTACGCCACTAAAAACGTTTATTTAACATTTTCATGCAATGAGTTGGCTGAATTAACAGCAAACGTGCTATTTTATGATTACTTTTTATTACACCATTTTTTTAACTGGTGCCTAGCAAACAATGGGATTTTGTTAGTCCTCACCCCTTATCTTGTCTTGTTTTCTAGGGCTATATTCACAATTTCTCTTGTTATATTCTTTCACCTATCACTACTGTATTTTATCTTACTTTTTTTTCTATTGTGAACATCAATATTCAACGTTATTAGATCAAGCCATGTCTTTTTCCTCTTTTGTCAATTATTTTGCAACTTAGTTTTATATGGCGAATATTATAGCTATTTGCCTAGTTGTACCTTACACCATTAAATCAATACTGACTATTTATGAATTGATTAATAGAATGTGAAAGCCATTAGTTAACTGGCGTTATATAACTATAAGAGTCAATTTATTTTATTGATGCTGTACGTCACATAATAATTTATCACTCAACCTTTTAGTTCTAATTATTTAATTATATCTGTTTTTTATTAATAAGCTTTTTGGTCTACAAGAAACTTCGCTTTGCCCATTCTTTATCCAGGTATGTCGTGGTTTCTTTCTTTTATCTCGAGATCCATTAATTTGGCGCAGCATTTGTCATAAGCTATGGGATGCCCGACAAATTTATCAGGAGGTCGCCAATGGCCGAGAAGATAAGAAGAGGCGGCGGCAGCGCCGACGTCAATCGTTTCGGAAGCAAGATCGGTCTCTTGTCAATTCTACCGAAAAATTTCCAGCCAAAGCTATAGTTTGGCGGCGGCTCCAGCCCAGTGAGGAGACTCCTGTAGGTCCGCTTACTTTAGTCCTGCCTAGTTGTGAGCTTGGGGGAGGTCATGCAGTGACCATCCTGCCTCCTCCTACCACGCCTTCAGCATCAGAATTCCAGGGCCCCACTCGATGTGGCTACGACAGCTGGTTCCAGTTAGCGATGCAACAACCACGCATCCTGTTTGATGGTATGATTGGAAACTCTCCACTTTACATACACACACGATAATCCATCTTTATTTAATGGCACTACACACGAATATCTTATCCAGTAGCTCATTTGATCAGCTTCTCAATGAATGCAATTAATCTTTATGAAATACTGGTTTATCCACACTTGTTCATTTGCTTGAGTGTGTTGTTCTTTATGAATTGATTGTCTTTATATGTATTTTCATTTAGCTAATTATCTTTAGATAATTTTAATTGCTACCATTTTCCAAATTAGCCTCAATTAAGGATTTCTTCCACATGTCATGCTCAGTTGAATTTTTTACGTCTTTCAACCAAGCCAAACGCACTCTGTTTATCAAAAGAGGCAATAATTGAACCGGGCCTACTCTTTTAATTTTTGTATTTATTATTTTTTTAAAAACATCCCTAGGCTGTTATTTATCCAGAGTGGAGTACACTCGGTCTACTAATTGTGCAGAAATGGGTCTGGAACGCTTACTTGTGGTGCGCTACTTCCGTGCTCTGCGCTTTCTTTCTTCTCGCCGTATCCTCTTTGTCAACTCCCCTTTCTCTGCTATCCATATCGTCAATGTTCTCACCAATTTAGCTAGACATCTTCAATCCTCTGTGACTTGTTTACCTCCTACTATTTTCGAAATGGGACAGACAGAAGCGACGGATCTTCGGACCATGGTCTTGACTGAGGCAGAGTCAGGAGAGTCATGCAATGATGATCCGACAGCGGGGAATTCGCGTCAGAGGCAATCCAGGGTGGATCTGAAGGATTCCATAATGATTGGAAGCTACACCTTCATAGGGTTTGATCGGGTCTGTTTTTATGTCGCCCTTTGTGCTGCCCTTTTTACATTGTATTGGCTAATTCTGGTAATTTCGCTGCCTATGTTCTGGAGCCTCTACAGATCGGTATATAACATGTACTTTATATTAATTAATTAATCAGTCTAGGTCTTTCATGTAAGTGAATTTAATTCTTTATAAATATTCAGGTTCGCTAGGCCTTCTTAAATGAAGGCTTCAGTAATCTCACTTGCTAGGTATTTGTTACGTAGTTATATACAAATAATGGACATTCTTCCAATCAAAGCATCGGAGTACACGAGGTTTGGTGATTGTGCAAGATCATGAGATAATCCAACATTAGAGATTCAAGCTTATTTTATCGACAATATTATATTTTACAAAGAAAGCAAATCGCCTGCTAAAAGGTAATGAAAGGAGACTGCGACCACACAAAAGGCCACACCATCTTGGTCTTCATACATTCTATATTTTTGTTGATTGCGTGAATTCC